GTGCCTTACCTCCCTTGGGCTGGGCCAGCTGGTGGTCGGCCTGCTCCGTCTCTGCTGCTTGCCAGCTACGCCTCGGCCGGCGCAGGGGGCGGAACCACGCATGTGTGGCGCTCCCGGGCAGGGAAAGTCCTCGACTTACGACCGGTTGGGTAGTCCTCGACTTACGACCGGTTTAGTCCTCGACTTATGACCGGTTTAGTCCTCAACTTACGACCGGTTTAGTCCTCGACTTACAACCAGTTGGGGTCGTGGCATTAAAAAGGTTGAGAACCACTGGTATAGGGTCTCCTGCTTGAGCAGAGGGTTGGACTAGAAGACCTCCAAGGCCCCTTCCAGCTTTATTCTGATTGATTGAAGATGATGGCCGCCATCTTGACTGTTTTGAGCCCTCCTTCTGTAGATGCCTCTGTTAAGCCCTTTGAGTAACAAACCTCAGTTCAATGAATTTTGGCTGCAATGATCAAGAGGGTAGCTTGACCTTTGGGCCTCTTGCCCCCTCCTCCAGTGGACAACCCTGATGGTATACAGCAGGGCTCTCAACCTTGGTCACTTGAAGACCTATGGACTTTGTTCTGTTTCAGGAAAAGAGGCATTGAGACGAAGCAACGGGTTCCAACAGTTCTCCTTTATTGCAACACCAACAGAACAGATTTTAAAATGGTGCGCCCCCATTTTATAGCCCCCCCTGCACAATACCTTGCTGGCCAATCATTGCAAAGGCTGGGAGCAGCCTTTCTTGTCCCGGGCATACACATGGTCTGCCCGGGCCAATCGCTGCAGCCTATGCCTGCTGGCCCAGGACATAACAGACTTCAACTCCCAGAATTCCCCAGCCAGCATCAAGGATTAGGAAGGGTAGGGGGGAAAGGGCAGAACCTGGGGGCGGAGTCAAGAGAAGCATCAGCCTGGAATCCCTACATAACCACATGTGTACTAAGTCCAACCCCCATTGAGTGCCCTTGACACTTATCTGACTCTAACCAGGTTCTGACCATTAAGTGAGGAGATTCCTGTGCATAGGCATGAATAGCAATAAATCAGATTAATTGGACCTTCCCGTGTAGATCTGGTCTTTTCCAGTTGACAGGAAGAGAGCTTCTATCATATCTGAAGAGACAGAGGTTTTCCATTCCTGATCTAACCGAACCAAACAGAAGACCTTTCAGACTCAATAAATAATTTGTATGATTTGCATAAGGCTAACAAATTAACCTGAGGCCTGGGTGTAGACAGCTACTTAAATAAATGAATCAATAAATACATTTTTGGAGGGGCCCAATCTCAAGAGTCCCACACCTAATCTGTTCCCACTTCAGATCTTGTGAGATTCAGCCCTCTCTCCAAAATCTCCTGAGATTTTGCAATTTCACAAGCTTTGAAGCGTTCCAGAGTTTAAATGGAATATATCTACTATTTAAGATGTGTGTAAATTCAGCTCCTAGACTAGGAGTAGGCAACCTTGGTTCTTTTATGACTCGTGGACTTCAACTCCCAGAATTCCTCAGCCAGCCACGCTGAGGGGAAAGGGAGAAGTTTCCCAGCTGAGCCATGTTGGCTCAGGAATTCTGGGAGTTGAAGTCCACGAGTCATAAAAGAGCCAAGGTTGCCTACCCCTGTCCTAGAACTTTCCATCCTACAATCCCAACTATGGAAGTTGAGGTTTTAAAATTTGTGAACTTCTGACAGACAACGTCAGTGTCACTCAACAACCGTGTTACTAACTTAACAACTGCGGTGATTCATTTAATAACTGTGGCAAGAAAGGTCGTAAAATAGGGCAAATTTAGCAAGATAAATTTTGGGGTCAACTGCAGTCGTAGGTTGGGGACTATTTCAATATTTGTGTTGTATGTCTGGCCCTAAAGCCGAGGTGGAATATGTTCCATCTGTTTCTTATTTTGTCACTTTCCCTTGTGTTTGATGCTTTTAATCTTTGCAGTGAACACCTCAGCTGAACAAATCAACAAACACGAGACTCTTAGTTTCAAAACACATTAATGTACAAGAGTCCCTTGGAGGACAACTTAGCTCATCTAACAAAATTTGGGCACAGAGGACATTAAAAAAAACAACAACTTTCTGTATCTCTCTCTCTCTCTTTTTTAGGAAGGCTCTGGAAAAAATACAGTAGGTTGATCAATCATCTATTATTCAGTGTTTGGAAATAGGATGCATTGTTTTCTCTCTTTTTTGGTTAGCAAAGTTGACTCTACAGACAAGATGATTTTTTTAAAATGTCTCTGGAGGTTTTCAAGAAGCAGAATTTTGAAAGTCACGATCCCCTCCTGCCTTAAAAGATGTCAGGGAAACGGTATTTCATGTTGATTTATTTCAGATCAGAGCTTCAAAGGAAATATGCAGGGACACAGAGTCCCTGCCGCCAAGGCTTTGTAATTGCGCTGCTCGGTAATTTCACTCGCCTGCCCCGAAAAATATTTTATATAAAAATCACATTTTATTATGGGGGGGGGGGGCTCCAGTCAGAGAAAGAAAAATCGTAGGATGCAATTGTTAAGTTCCCCATATAGAGCAATCAAAACATCAGTGTTCATCCCAGACCATCAAATGGAAGACTTTCGATATTTATCTGATTCTTGAGAAAAGGAGAATTAATAGCCACACACCCAGGAATGGATTCCAAGGGTACAACTCAACGGATTGAATGCGTAGTCAAAGAACATCAGACCTCCCCTTACCACCAAAACCCCAGCCTCAATTCCTTGCCTTTTAGAAACTCAGGTTCCCTAAAACCTTGATTCACAAGCCTACCTACCTGTGGATAGAAATGAACCCAAGTCCCAGTGATAAGAGGGACCATGTTCCTAAGAAGATAACCAACGTTAAAGATTGTTCTCTTGGCTTAAAAGAATGCCCTATATTTCTCTGTTTCAAATTTGAAGTTCAGGCTAATGGGTATCAGATTGAGTAATTTAATGAGAAAATGCATGTAAAAATTAAGCCACTTAGCTTAATTATAAGTAACAAGGCTCCCCCCCCCCCAGATATTTCACTGGCAGAAATGTGTGCCCTAAGGACACATCTCATCATCTCCATGTATTAAAATTATACAGTGCAGCGTGGAAAAAAAGAAAGGCTAGGGTGGAAATATATAGCTAAGAAGATCTGCAGAGGGCCATTACCCCCTTGATCAAGATCATGTCTGATTTGAGAAAATGGCCAGTTGGATTATCTGCTGATTATCCCCTTGTCCTATCCTCCTAAAAGTCAGCCCTTCTTTCTCAAAATAATGAATGTGAAGGTTGTCATACAGCCACCCTAGCCAACCACAAAATTGGACTGAATATCTATTTTTCTTTGACTTCTAAAACCAATCAACCAATATGCCTCATGAGGCTTATCTGACCTACCAAATATTAGGTACCACTATGAAATAATGTTGGTTGCGGATGGATCCCCAAACATCCCAATTTACAGAAAGGCCAAATCAAAATATCTCAACCTTTATCAACTGCCAGAACCGCTAGCAAAATCAGACCATGGAATCAACTCCACAGCAACGTTAAAATTATTTTTATTGACACTGGCTGTAATAATAGACTCTTGCAAGTTTGGTTGTGCTGTATCTCCTCTTCCTTCTTATACTTCACTGGATTAGGGAGGTGTCTGTCTGAGCTTCTTCTGAACATTATCTGGACAGCCTGGACTTCAACCTTTTTTTGCCTAGTCAACAGCTTCTGCAGATCTCCATCAAGGCATTTCTACATTAAGAGAGCCTTTGGCTTATATGTCGCATGCTCCCATCGGTTTCCCCCCAGCCATTGTTCAGTAGGCTGTAATAAGCCAGTACGTTTTCAACCAGAGTTTCTCACTTCATCTGAACTATTGTTTTAATATCTTGGGTGATGTTTCATTTTCCCAAGGAACATAGGTCTCAAGACATGACAGAAGGAGGAAGAGAAGGAGAAGGAGAGAAGGAGAAGCAGGAGATAGGGTGAAAGAAAAAGAGAAGGAGGAGGAGGAGGAGGAAAGAACAGGAAGGAGAAGGAGAGAAGGTGAGGGAGATGGAGAGGGAGGAGGAGGATGAAGGAGAAGAAACAGAAGGACAAGAGGAATCGCTTCATAAAAGCAGTGCAATATATCGGGTGGAATGTTAGACATTGAAGGGAAGAGACTGAATCTGAATTTGAAGTTTTGCTCAACCATGAAGTCTGCTGATGGGCCCCATTAAAGAAAACGACTAGCGAGGATTACACAGGATATATCAACAATAGGAAGAAAAGGGACTCAAAACAAGCCATGTGTTTATTTAAAAAAAACAGGCTTGGTCGAGTAGTAGTACATGAATGAATTTTTGAAACGATTGGTTTCTGAATGGATGGTGAGGAACATCAACTCATCCTGGGAAACTCCACCGGTTGGTCACTTGAGGATGGAGATCATATTTTCTGTTTGTTGAGGTACAAAGATTACTAACCCTCTTACGCTAAGTACACACTGACTAGAACTAGATTGATGGATGAAAGCCTACTCTGTCAGATGCAACAGATGGTCTCCTAAATTGATAAGCATGGGTGCTAAGAGAGAGAGAGAGAGAGAGAGAGAGAGAGAGAGAGAGAGAGAGAGAGAGAGAGAGAGAGAGAAACCCAGGTTGTGTCCAGCCCCATAAAGTATTAGGAGAAACAGTGGGAGGCCTGTCAAATTGCTGCAAAACATTTGAGAAGCATGAAAAGAAACTGCAATGCACACCTGCTGTTAGGCATTATACATAAGAAAGGTGCCTAAGCAAAATAAAATAATAATAATAATAAAAAACCTGGCTCCCAACTTAATCATAAATATGTGTTAGGGTTTCTCTTGCAGAAATTCTCTGCATGACGGACAAACAAAGAAAAATTGCTGTGGACCCAGCAACCTTAACACATATTTTCCTTCATAAGTAAGTGGTTGTGGTGCTTTGATTTATTTCTCTTTGATATAAATTAGTAGGAAAGTACTTCCGATCAAATAAACACAATTTTGTCCCAGATGATTCTTTGTCCTTAATTGTACAGAAGTTCTTTAAATGATGCCAACGAATTGGGCTCCAGCAGAATAGGCTGTGGGGGAGGTGGTCAAAATTGAAAACGTTGTGGAAAGAACATATTGATGCAAAAGCTGGACCATTCTGAATTGGCACATTGTGGTGGACGGTGTGCCATCTTGCCACTTTTGACCTCCCTATGTGGACATCACGGTAGAGTTCCCTCTAAGCCAGTGATGGGGAACCTTTTAGAGACCGAGTGCCACAAAACCGCCCCCGCTCCGCCTCCCGCCCTGCCTGCTCTGGCCCCGCCTGCCCCGCCCACCCGCAGGGCTACGCACCACAGGTCGCCCAGGCAGCCCTGCAGCGCCATGGAAGCCACGCCCTCCGCCCACACCCCGCAGCATCACCTGCATGCTATGGGGCGTGAGGGCGGAGTCTTGTTGCTGCTGCCTGGCTATGTCCTTAGCTGTGCTGCTCCATGCAGGCCGCGCCCGGGGGCGACTCTCCTCCGGGGGGCTGCTGGTGAGGAGGGGGCCGTGGGCAGAGGCGGGGCTGGGGCAACAGCGCGCGTGCTCACAGAGAGAGCTCCGAGTGCCGCCTCTGGCACGCGTGCCATAGGTTCGCCATCACTGTTCTAAGCTATGAGACATTTTTAGGAATTTAGATTCAAACTTCTGGTATTTTAAAATATGATCTTCCTCCTGTATACGCACTTCTCCCTTTTTCCCCTGAAATAAAATGTAAGCTTTGTGAACAATTTTGTACCTTTTTTATCCCAATGGAAGGATTTTGATCCCGGCTGTGCCACCTGGAAATCAAACGGTCATCTCTCCCAAACTGTTCATCACGAATATTGTGCATATTTTATATTTATTCATTCTGAGATCTGAATGTTCATACAAAGGGCCACAACCAGACATTCTTCAGTTCCGAGCGAAGTTGCAAATTATGAGTGATCGCAATTTCATTTCTTCATGTCTGTTTCCTCATTCTCCACCGATGGTGGCTGTTTCCTTTTCCTTTCTTTAATGTCGGTCCATCATCCATTACATTGAAGTGAGGACAACCTTGGGGGTGGAGAAGAAGTCAAGATGGCAGCTGGGATGGCCTTCTTGACGGTCTAAAAGGACTTTTTTTTGGTCAAGATATGGATGCCATCTTGGTTACAGTGGTGATGGGTGAAATTCTGGAAGATCTCAGGACCCAGATTGGGGTCAGATCACACCAGGGAAGGTCCAACTATTTGGCGACTAAGAGTCAACACCAAACTGATGGCACCTAATCAAAGAATCATAGAATCATAGAGCTGGAAGGGACCTTAGAAGTCTTCTAGTCCACCTTCTCCCTGATTGTAAGGTTCTTGAGAAAAAGCTTTTTGCGTTAATTTTCCTCTGTAAAGCACCAACAGGATTTCAATGGAAATCAAACTCATATTTTTTTTCCTACTTACCCCAGCTGATCGAGGTGGCTTCAATCGGCTTTTCTTGTTCCTGTCTGCTGTGGCTAGCTTTATCTTATAAGCTTCTCCTGAGTAGGAACTATCTGTAGAGGAAAAATGAAATTCAATGTCTCTAAATGAAATGAAATCCAGGGAGATCAGAATCAATTCCCCCCCCCCCCATTTATTTTTAAATTAATGTAATAGCAAAGGTTAAAAACAAGAAACATTTTGCAAACTTCAAATGCTTAGACCAGGGGTAGGCAACCTCGGCTCTTTTATGACTCGTGGACTTCAACTCCCAGAATTCCTGAGCCAGCATGGCTCAGCTTGGAGACCTCTCCCTTTCCCCTCAGCATGGCTGGCTCAGGAATTCTGGGAGTTGAAGTCCACGAATCATAAAAGAGCCAAGGCTGCCTACCCCTGGCTTAGACTAACATGGATGTTGTGATTTTAAAGCTTTCAAAATATCAGTTTTTTTTAATTAAACGCTGTTATATTTTTTTGGGGGGGGTATGAGGATTTTGACTTATAAGGATTCTAGCGAAGCCTATTTGATATATTCACCATTTCAAACAAGCTCATATCTAGCCAGATGTGGCTAGTGAATGTAAGGATTTATCCAAGGGCACAATTTAACTTGGTTTTCCTGGTCAGATTTTAATTGCGAGACTTGAGAATGAATTAAAATAAGTAAATAAAGGCCTCCATGTTCATATTCATGATTCAGTGCAGTGCAGTCACAATGCAATGTCAATAAAATAATAAAATAAAATAAAATAATAAAATAAAATAAAATAAAATAAAATAAAATAAAATAAAATAAAATAAAATATAAAA